TACACCTGGGTGGAGAGAGGCACTGTGAGAGTAAAGTGTCTTGCCCAAGAACACAACACAATGTCCCCGGCCAGGGCTCAAACCCGGACCGCTCAATCCAGAAACGAGCGCACTAACCATGAGGCCACCGCCCCTCCCACAATCTCAGATATGTGAGTCAAAAACACATCCAAACGCCATTATTTTGATAATACCACTTTGGCTTGGCTGATTTGCAGACTGATACTCGACAAGGACGCAGTGTTTGTGGGGTCACATTTGTCCAGAATGAGGTTTAGAAATCAGGCCCATTCTGGTGAATTTGTAAAATAATTCTTTAGCAACTACAGGGTCTTTCCACATCCTAACAGACAAAAACTTTAGTGGTACTGTAAGTCTGTAAAGATAATCACACTATCATGAAAGATAATGATTTTTAATGTTACCTCACCTCATTATTGCTTTTCGCAATAAGATGTAAACAAGACTTGTCACGCTTGTGAAAATATTCATTATCTGTCAGCTTGTTTCCTTCTGAGGTCATAACTTTAGGAGGTCGGCCTGCCTCGTCACCATCCAGGATGTGGTAATAAAATTGATAGTCAAATGGATCGTCAGGGATGGTGCTCCATGCACCTTCAATTCCCTCCTCTTCTTCTTGATTGTCATAGTCTTCTTTGCGCCTTGGTAGGTGTGGCCAGTGTGGGTTCACCATCTGGTCTAATATGGCAACTACTGATTTCTGTGACAGATTCACAACACTGACAGTTAGTCTGAAAATGTTCAACATCAAAAAGGTAAATAACAAGTAATTGATTATAAAATGATCTATTAGATTGTCTGCTTTGCATCTTTTTATTTTCTTTCCCTTCTTTTTCTCCCCCTTTGGTCTGGCAAAGGAAAATCTGTAAGTGCACCCAGCTAATTCAAGGCTGTCATTAATTTTTGAGTCACCTGTAGTCTTGATCTTTGCATCCGTAACAAACTTTTACCTTTGGAGTAAATTGTATCAACTACAGGCAGGTTCACCGATAACATCAAGGGTCCATGAAACACGCTCAGCCATACCTGGTGTTGCAGGTTATGACCCTTACTAACAGCCCTGTAATTGCTTTGTTTCTTGTCATTACCATTATTTTGGTTATAAATGCACTATGCAGCTGAGGGTGGTAAAGTCTAAATGTCAGACCGGTTGCTCCACCAGGGTTGCAGCCTTAATATCCCATGTTAGTCAGTCTGCATATAGCACATACATGTAGATCTGAGGCTTAACACTTACTGAAGTAGCTATTATAATATCTGCACCTTCATTTTAGAGTTCTCAATTATTGACTTGAAGCTAAAGAAAGATGGCTGAGGATTTGACATATCACCGGGCCTCCACAAAAATAATCTGTGGACTCTGAAGGAAAGAAAATATGACCAAATGAGTCAAATTAACGAGGTGTACAGGGGAGGGGGGCCTCTGGCAAGCTTCACGAGTGGAAAAAATAGCAAATCACGGATCACGGATATCAAAATTTCATTTTCTCGAATCATGAAAATAAGCAAGTAATGTACCTTTTCAAATAACCTGCTCTTAAGCTAGAAAGAGAGTTTGAAGAAAGTAAAATCGTGAAAGGCTAAGTAAAGGCTCCTTAATTATTGCAAATCGCATACTTAATCACTTTTATAGATGACTCTCACCATTCAGAGGACTCACATCTCAAAATCAGGAAGAATAGAGGGAGGAAATCACAAATATCGGTTAGTAATTTAAGTTCTTCACAGGTCATGCAACACTTTCAGGTCACAGATCACGCAGATTTCTTAAATTCATGTTTCATGGAAAATGAAATCAGCATTAGAGAATACCCCTGTACGACCCTCTTTAAAGTATGACACATTGTGAATTTAAGTGAACATAAGGAAACCAAGCACTCAAACACAGGGTAAAGCCTGTAAGACTGAGAGGGTGTGGACACTATTTGGCAACTGTGAGGAATGTAACGATGTTCACTGTACCTCTTATGGGTGTAAGGTTAAGTCTGCATTCAAGCCAAGTGGCCCATCAGGCCAGAACTTATCCCATTTTCTATAGCATGAAGCGACTAAGAAAATTTCTACTCCTCCCTAAATGGGATGCTAGTCCACCGCAAGGTTACCTCCAGCATTAAATTCCCCCGTACCCATTTGTACACCTGGGTGGAGAAAGCCAGGCACTGTGAGAGTAAAGTCCAAAAACACAACACAATGTCCCTGGCCAGGACTTGAACCTGGACCACTCGATCTGGAGTTGGGCACACTAACCATGAGGCCACCGTACCTCTACAACCTCTTAAGAGTAATTAAGCTTAATTGAGTCATTACCTTTCATGCCACATCATTCTTATCAAATATGCTGCCACATCATCATTCTCCATTGTCAATGCTAACTCAACTGGTAGTAAACCTCGCTTCTTCTCGGGTTCAAGCTGAATTTTTGTTTCCAGAGCCAACAAGTCTGGACATTTTTTCACAAGTGTTTTAGTGACATTTAGAAAGTCAAGCTCAGCTGCATAGTGCATCAATGTCTTCTTTGTCTTATCTTCATCATCTCTGAATGTCTGGTATCTATTGTCTGCATTGAGTTCGCTCTTTAATAGGATCTCCAAAAATCTATTAATCTGCAAGAAACCACATGTCAANGGTCTATTAGTGTGCCAGGATAAGTTTACCTTAGAAACCAGTGTCCATAGCTCTGAAATTTTGTTTTTATCAGCATTCTAACAACTGGATGCTGCAAGGCTTCCTGAATTAAAAGCAAATGGAATAAAAAACAATTAGAAAACCTCTCAGCTGAAATCTAAGATATGGGTGTGTCAAAAACACACCCAAAAGCCTTAATACCATTTTGCCTTGGCTGACTTCCAGACTGATACTGCTTTCACACCTCGGCAAGAATGCAGTGTTTGTATGGTCACATTTTGTCCTGGATGAGGTTCAGAAATTCCCATTGTGGTGAATTTGTAAAAGAACTCTTTGGCAGCCACAAGGTCTTTCCACACCCCAGTGGACAAAATATTGAGTGGTACCGTAATATTGAAATGATTATCATGCTTTAACAAAAGATAATAAATGTGACCTTTAATGTAACCTCACCTTGTTATCGCTTTTCGCAATAAGATGTAAACAAGACTTGTCACGCCGGTTAAAATATTCATTATCTGTCAGCTTGTTTCCCTTTGAGGCCATAACTTTAGGAGGTCGGCCTGACTCATCACCATCCAGGATGTGGTAGTAAAAGTGATAGTCAAATGGATCGTCAGTGATGGTGCTCCATGCACCTTCAATTCCCTCCTCTTCTTCTTGATTGTCATAGTCTTCTTTGCGCCTTGGTAGGTGTGGCCAGTGTGGGTTCACCATCTGGTCTAATATGGCAACAACTGATTTCTGTAACAGATTCACAACTTTGACAGTTATAGTCTGAAAATGTTCAATATCAAAAAGGTAAACCGCAAGTAATTGATTATAAAATAATCTACTAGATTGTCCATTTTCTGCTTTGCATCTTTTTATGTTTTTCTTTCCCTTCACTTTCTCCCCCTTTGGTCTGGCAAAGGAAAGTCTGTATGTGCACCCAGCCAATTCAAGGCTGTCATTAGTAGACTTGTAGCCTGTAGCCTTGATTTCATATTCGTAACAAACTTGTTACCTTTTTAGTGAATTGTACATGTATCAGCTAAAGGCAGGTTCACCCATAACAGGAAGGGTCCATGAAACACACTCAGCCATACATGTAGCAGGTGCAATGGGTTACAGCCCTTATTAACAGCCCTGTAATTGCTGTTTCTTTTCATTACCCTTTGATTAAAAGTGCACTATACAGCTAAGGATGGTGTCTAAATCTCAGACTGGTTGCTCCACCAGGGTTGCAGCCTTAATATCCAATGTTACACGGTCTGCATGTAAGGTGCATGTAAGGTACGTGTAAGGTGTGTGTACACTGCGTGGACACTGTGTGTAATGTGCTTGTAGTGCACGTGCTTCAAACACATGCAATGCTACAGTCCCTTCGACTGGTACTGTAGCACATAAAATCTGAGGCCTCAGTCTAACACTCACTGAAATAGCTATCATGATTACCGCACCTTCATTTTAGAATTCTCAATTATCAACTTGAAGCTAAAGAAAGATGGCTGAGGATTTGACATATCACCAGGCCTCCATGAAAATAAACTCTGGACTCTGAAGGAGAGAAAATATGAACAAATGTGTCGAATTAAAGAGAGTCTCTGGCACAGTTCACGAGTGAAAAAAAGCAATCACGGACATCAAAATTTTATTTTCCCGAATCACGAAAATAAGCAAGTGAGGTACCTTTTTGAATGACCCACTCTTACGCTGGAAAGAGTGTTTGAAGAAAGAAAAATTGTGAAAGGCTAAGTAAAGGCTCCATATTGCAAATCGCATACCTAAATCACTTTTGACAGACAACTCTAACCATTTGGAGGACTCACATCTCAAAATCACGAAGAGTAGAGTAGTGAAATCAGGAATATTGGTTAGACAATTCAAGTTATTAACGGGTCATGCAATACCTTCTGGTCACGGATCACGAAGAATAATTTCTTAAATTCACATTTCATGGAAAATGAAATCAGCTAATCACACATCACAAGAATACCCCTGTATAACCCTCATTAATGTATGAGGAAAACAAGCACTCAAATGCAAGGTGAAGCCTCTAATACTGAAAAGGTGTGGACATCATTTGGCAGCTGTGAGGAATGTAAAGATGTTCACTGTACCTCTTACGGGTAAGGTAAAGTCTGCATTTGAGCCAAGTGGCCCATCAGGCCAAAGCTTAATGTCCCATTTTCTGTAGCATGAAGCGAATAGGAATATTTCTACTACTCCCTGGATAGGATGCTAGTCCATCGCAAGGTTACTCCAAGCATTAAATTCGCCGGTACCCATTTATACACCTGGTTGGAGAGAGGCACTGTAAGAGTAAAGTGTCTTGCCCAAGAACACAATGCAATGTCCCTGGCCAGGGCTTGAACCCAGACCACTCAATCTGGAGTTGGGTGCACTAAGCACGAGGCCACCATGCCTCCACAACCTCTTAAGGGTAATTAAGCTTAATTAAGTCATTACCTTTCATGCCACATCATCCTTATCAAATATGCTGCCACATCGTCATTCTCCTTTGTCAACGCTAACTCAACTGGTAATAAACCTCGCTTCTTCTCAGGTTTAAGCTGGGCTTTTGTTTTCAGAGCCAACAAGCCTGGACATTTTTTCACAAGTGTTTTAGTGACGTGTAGAAAGTCAAGCTCAGCTACATAGTGCATCAATGTCTTCTTTGTCTTATCTTCATCATCTCTGAACGTCTCATATCTATTGTCTGCATTGAGTTCACTCTTTAATAGGATCTCCAAAAATCTATTAATCTGCAAGAAACCACATGTCAATGGTAGTTCACTACTAACTGCTAATTACTGCTAAATGCAAATATTAACAGTGAGAAAACTATTCTTTCAAATTGAGGAAGACAGATTCAAAAATTACCATTAAAACTTTTGAGCTACACTCTGACTAATGTTCAAGAAAGATTACATGCAGCTGGCAGAGGATTAGTAAACAAGTTAACGAGTGTCACGGTGAAAATACCCAAGAAATAGCCAGTAAAAATGACAGTGTTTCAAAAGCAAAGAAAGTCTGATATGGCCGACAGTCTAGGGTTAGTGGAGTTTCCAGTCAGGCTGGTGGCTTCTGTCCTTCACTAGCCCATTCTTTCTCAGTGACCTGCATTCTTCATACTCAATCAATTTATACAGAACTAATGAACTAATCATAAGAATTATCATAAGAAATAATCTTAGTGACACTACATACAACTACATGTACCAATAGGGCTTTTAAAAGGACAGTACTAAACTGATAAATCCAACATATGTTCAGATTTCTTCCAGCTGTGGTTTCAGTTTTAATATTCAATAAAATAAACAATGATGTGATTTTATACATAATACATACCAGTCGCTCAAGGCCTGGAAGGCGATCTAAATTATCTTGATACTGTTTTGATGCTGGCCACTTTTTTAACATCACAAGAGCAGGGTCTTCACTGACTAGCTCACCATTGTCTTTGTATTTTTGGATCAGCCTTTCAACTCGCACTTCATCCATTGCTCTGTTCCATGGCATTCCTTCTCTATACTTTTGTCGAACCTAAAAATTTTAATGTTAATGTGTCCACATTTCTTTCTCAAGACATCACTCTACCTCATCAGTTTTCAATTTTTATCTTCTTCTGAATTATTATATCCATTTAAGTGTCACGCATCAACCAGGGAGAACAACTTATTTCATTTTATGCATCCTTATAACCATTTGTCTACATGTTAGGCTGCTGTGTTCAAGAGGGTACAAAGCAAAACTGAATTTACAATTAACATCTTTAATTTATTTTTATACATACAGTGTACTGGGAAATTTTACCCAATAGCATTGTCTGTTTTTGATTAAATAATCTAATTATAATTTATCCCATATCAATATCAAACAATCCAAACTCGCTACTCAAATTCTTAAAAAATTCATAAAAAATTCATAAAAGTTTGATACCTTGATCCAGAAATTTCGGTCAAATTCATCTTCCAGGCCGTCATCTTGTTGATTAACTTCAATTTCTGGCTTTTCCTCCCGACTTTCATTTCCTTCAGCTCGCTCGAGCAACTCCTGTTCTTCTCTTTTCATGCCTTAATCTTTTAATCCTGGCTTGAAGATGTAATTATATGTATTGAAAGCACCTTTTAGCCGGCCGTTTAGGTTTCCAGAAGGGCGCGCTCAAATCGTATACATGGCATCAACGCGAATTACTTAACAAGACGATTTCCCTCGTCTCCATATTTATGCCACGAACGGGATAATAATCAGTTATTCAACTCTGCATATCACGATTCATCACGATCTAAAGTGTAAAACACCCGACGAATCTCGACCGTACAACCATCATCGATGAACCAGCGACACTCCAGTGCGAATATTGATAGGCGTTCCTTCAGTGGGAAGTGGAGGACTAGGGACAACAACAGCAAGGCGAAAATGAGCCTCGTTCCCAAACTGAGGCGGATATGAAATTTTAATTCATTCAGAACGTATTTAGAAACGAGGCACAATGCAATGATGTTCTGTCCTACAATTAATTTGCTACGTGGGTGAAAAGGTTGCTTCTGTTTCAATGTCAGCCTACAAAATTATGCGGCAAAGAAAGCACCTGTTTCTTAATTTATGCACAGACAAAAAAATTACCTCTGCTATTGGCCGATTAAAGATTGGTGGTTGTCACCACTTTAATTATTTTAGAAAAGAGCTGCATTTGAAATAATTAAGGTACTGATGTCGCAAATTATTTTCGGTCAGCGCTTTTAATATATGTAGAATTCTCTGTCTATCTGGTTGCAATATTTGAGGCCTGAAAGGACGGCTGTTCTCCGCCGAGGATCAAAAGCCTTACCTTATCTTCCTATGAAAGATTTATGCCAGCATTTTTCAATCGGCTTGAATAATTCAACTTGAAAGAAGGACAGGCATTGATACTATTCAAGAAGCGTGTTTATTCATATCGTTATATATCCTCACGCAAAAATCGATTTGAGAAATGAAGTTTGCTTTGTTCCTGTACACTGGAAACGACAGTACGAAAGCCGAACAACTAAAAGACTATCTACAAGGCAAGCTTCGCTCGGTAGCAGATTTACGAAACATCACAGACATTTTAGCGGAGGAACAGAAGCTCAAAGATCAACTTCCCCGCAGTGACTGTGTTGTGTTGATCGGGTCACGCGAGGCATCATCCCTTATTCACAACAAACGCACAGAAATCGAAGATGGTTTTGAAACTTTCGACGGCAAACTCTTTCA